CATCGTTTTTTAAAACAAATATTACCGCTTAAATAATTGTTCATATGGATGATTTTAAAAGTACACGAAAACTCAGGTTTTTTAGATTATAAAACCTCAACATTTGTGTCCAATCGAAATGCAATGTAATTTAGAAAAGTTATAATAATATCTTTCTGTTATTACAAAAACAATTCATGCGTTTTTCGAAAACACATATACAACATTTAAAACCACCTACGCTTTGTAGATCATTGTTATAGTTAGAGTTGTGAAAACATATTAACCTGTTGCAGTTGCAGAAAGTCGGGCTAAAACTATTTTAAACCATTTTGAACTCATGATAACCTTGTCTGAAGCCGTCTAATCAACGTTATTGTGGAATTCAATGTCTTTTATCGCACTGAAGTCTCATGATCTGTATAAACTATCGGTTCATTTACACACTTTAAAGTGTTTGAAAAAAAATAGATGTGTCAGCTGTTTTGATGTATGGGACGACGTGGTCGCGTGTTAGAGCGCTCGTCTGCTAACCCGCCTTGTAGAGTCAAAGCAGCTGGATGTAGTACTGACCACAGCATCCTTTTAGATGAAATTATTAAGAAACATTTCAACTCTACTTCATCTGCCGTAGGAATCGTCCAATTCAAACTGAGAATTCTACTTTTACTGTTTTGTTGTATTCATTTATTTACTTTTGTAGAATTATTTTATTTTTCGTAATTAGCCGTCTGCATAATCAATGTTAAAATATAGATAAATATAATAGTGTTTGGTTTTTTCATAGATCTGAAGTTCATACGTTAACATGACGACTTGGAGAAGTTACAAATACTCGTCTGTGCCAAGCTGGAATAATACGGGATACCGATCGAGGTTCTACGCCCCGACCACACCGTCCCATAGTTCCACAAGAAATAGAAATCTTGTTCTACATACACACGCACATGAAACGTTTCGACAAAAGGCCTCCGTTTGATCAGATGTACTAAATATAATACCGTAATGTCCCGTATTGAGCAGGAAGTGAAGCACAAGACATCATTCATTTAATCGGTCGACACAGTGCACCATCTACCATTTAATCGGTCGACACAGTGCACCATCTACCATTTAATCTGTCGACACAGTGCACCATCTACCATTTAATCGGTCGACACAGTGCACCATCTACCATTTAATCGGTCGACACAGTGCACCATCTACCATTTAATCGGTCGACACAGTGCACCATCTACCATTTCATCGGTCGACACAGTGCGCCATCTACCATTCAATTGAACCATATTTTAAAGTATGGTAAATTTCAAAACCGATTACAGGGGACATTATACAGCCAATATTGGTCAGGAAAATAAATACACTAGTAGCAGCAGAGTACCTACTAGCTTCTCGGTTGGTCAAGGATCCCCTACATATTTTAACTATGCCCCAAACTTTGAAGAAAATAACAATCAAAAATTATTTCTACATTTTAAATTAGTTTTGCTCAGAAAAATTATACGAGTATCAAGATAAGCATTATATATTACAGAGGTTTTATATTATTTACTTTGTTACATTTGTGGGTCTCGGAGCATTATTTACGGATAATGTAGGTTGTGTACCGTTGTCATTTTGAGAACCCGTGTACTCAAGTACGATATCAAGCTACAAAGTGTCCGTTTCCTGGACTGCTGTTCCCCCCGGGGGACGGGGCTATGTGAAATTGTAAGTGACATATGCGCACGGGGGTCGGGGAGGTGTTCAGCAAATTAGATTCCTGGCATCAGCGGTGGGGCCTCACCGGGCGTCCGCTGGTCGATAAGGGACTTAACTCCAGTTTGTTATACACCACTCGTTCGGGACGGCGTGTTTACTTCCGGTTGCGATACGCCAATTGTTCGAATTATGAAAGTTAATTGCTGTATTAAGTTTAAGTAGATCGAATAGCCACCAGTTATTGCTCTACTTTGCTTGGATGTTAACCCGAAAGTTTCGAGTTCGAATCCGGGCCTGAATTAGTAGAACGTCGCTGAGTCAATCCAGCTCTGTTAGGTTCTTAACTCATGTTGGGGAAAGTAAAGGTGGCTGGGAAAAGAGCTTACCATACATTCTCTTTATATGCAGATTTCAAGAAGCATATGAACTCTACTTCATCTGTCCAATGGATCGATAGGTCTAATGACGATTCAATACTATTGCTCTACTTTGTTTGATGTGTTCGTATATTGAGTTCGAACAATAAAAATATTTCTATAGTTTAATTATATTGACTGGAGACGGAGTGGTTGAACAGTAGAGCTTACGACTGCTAAGCTGAAAGTCTCGAGTTCGGATCCCGGGCTGGAGTCTGCAGGACGTCCTTGAGTCCACCCAGCTCTGATGGGTACCTGATTTCACGTTAGGGAAACGGAAGCGGCTGGGCATAGCGCTGACCACACCATCTCACTTTACGCCGAAGCCATTGAAACATTAACTCTACTTCATCTGCCCCATGTATCTTGGGCACGAACGGGAAACTGTAAATATTTATATTGACTGAGTTACGAAACGAATTCGAGTTTGGAATATTAGATCTCCACTCAGAAGACATTTTTTTCGCATCAAGCAATGCAAGAGTTACTTTATCTGTTTGTATAGTGGCTTCGAATGTTTGGCTGGATCTAGTTAGCTACCTTTTGTGACATCTTAAGGGCCTGTGTGTAACTTTTGTTTTGATTTCCGGCTTGAATCGTGTTGTTTTTTTATACACAATAATTAGCATGAAGTCTGAGATAGTTTCTTTATTTAAGTTTAATTACGTCAGTTGCTCGAAAAATAAGGCATTCTAGACAAGTTTATCATGCAGTTGTTCGAACTCTGAAGCGTTAACTTTCATAATCTGCTTACAAAGTTCTAATCAAGAAAATTGTCCATTAACATTTGAAAAACTTCGTCTTCTTCGTTCTTAATTTTTAGTGTTTGGAGGGATCGAGCCTTATCTGCCAGAGGGTTTGACCTCGAGACTTTTTTCGAATTTATCAACCACGAGCTTTTGCCGACTCGACCATGCTTCCATCACAACCAAGGATTACGTGTCAATTGGTTATGCGCCATTCATTGACTCCGATTTCAGCCTGCTTTTCTCTTTGGATTTGCTTCCATAGCCTTTGTCCAACCAAGAACAAACTACAAGGCAGCAGTTGTTTGATTTTGGAATTGTCTCTCCTACAAGAGTGGCTGTCTCCAGCTAACGAGCCTCATCTGGCCGAGGGTTCGAACTCGAGACTTTTCGGTTTAGTAACCATGACCACGCCGACCCCTATTTGATAAACGAGAGGATTGAAGTGGAACAGAGCCAAGTTAGTATCCCTCTACCGTACACCGTAGCTATATGTTTGACATTGGGTTACGGCTGCTTTGGTCAATTACACCGACTGAATAAACTTGTCTTAGTATTTGTGTACTGAAAAGTTGGTGTTGGGAGGTATAGCGTGTGATTGCTGACTAGAGTTCAGAGCGCTGAGTAGATGAGGCTCGTTAACTAGGGACCGCAACTCATCTAGGAAAGAAAACTCCTACAACAAACCACTGCTACCTTGCAGATTGTTCCTAGATCTAGGTCAGGGGTCTCCAAACTTTTCAGACCGAGGGCCGCATTAACTACCAAATTTCAGTTCGGGGGCCAGTTTCTTCCAGGAATGTCGTGATTTTTCTGAGCAAAGTTCCTCAGCCATCACCACCAAACGTTTTTCCGTGGGCTAAGAGATCTCCGCGGGCCGGATGAGAGGACCTCGTGGGCCGGATGAGAGGACCTCGTGGGCCGCATCCGGCCCGCGGGCCGTAGTTTGGAGATCCCTGATCTAGGTCATCTGGCTCATAACATGTTGGCAAGTAATACGTGATTGTGGAGTAACGACCCTTTTAATATCACGGTTAAAAACGAAGAAGAAGAAGAAGAAAACAAAAGAGTCCCCTACATAAAACATCAGTGTGACTGTTCTGCTCCGGGCAGAAAGTTGTGTTAGATGTATGTACAAACACGAGTATGTATACATGGTGCACTCATAAAGATTAAAATAAATTAGGCGATTTAAAAAAAACACGTCCTGTGAAGTCACTTAGCCATATCCCATTGTGTCTTAAACACACTCACATAAAAGGTGTTTGTAGAGGCGTAGTGAAGGCGGGGCGGGGGATGCGGACCGCACCGGGTGACACCATTTAGTGGGGTGACACCATGTCAATAAATTGCAAATTGTACAGAAGAAATACGCTTTTGCCAGTTGCATTAATGAAAATTTTTTTTTTTTTTTTTTTTTTTTTTTTTTTTTTTTTATATAAGTCTATGTAGCCCGACGAGCACAATAAAGCGTTTAGCTATTTAGTTTTATATATTTGTAGTAAAGTCTTCAGTTTTTTATCAAAGTGTCTGACATCTTTATAAATAAAATTACAAATTTGTTTTAAAGGAATTTTAGTAAACTATAGCTCTAGAACATTGAAAATTATGTACAGTTTAAAAAAAAAGTAATTCAGCTTGTAATAGCTGAGAGCTTTGGAAGGTGAGTAAGACAATGGCGGTTTCAATAACTTTAATTGAGTTGTTTCCCTTGGTGAGAAGGCTTCGTAAATTATAATGGCATCAAGCAGCTGACGTTGAATAGTTTTTCTTAATCGGCAGGAGCATTGTGGAGAAGGGATAGACTGGAAGGGGGGGGGGGGGGGGGGGCGTACAAGCATATACAAGGCTGAAAGAGCAATTTAAAAAAAAAGTACGGATGCACTTTAAAGTTGAAGGCTTCAGTTTTGCAAGGGTTAAACAAAGCAGACTAAAACGATGGTGCGATCTAAATAGAACGTTTTAAGAATTTAAGATTGTTTGTACTGAGAACATGGAATATAACCGAGTTAAGACCTATCTAATACGATTAGGTTAAAGATGGTCTGGGCTGAGAAAGGGGATTATAATGGAGTTAAGACCTATCTAATCCGATAAGGTTTATGATTTTGAGATTGCCTGTGATGAGAAAGGGGATTCTAATAGAGCTAAGACCTACCTAATACGATGAGGTTGATGGTTTTAAGCCGGACTGGGTTGGTGTTGATCTGACAGTTGTAGATGCCCTGGTCACTGTACCTGACGTCCCTGATATGCAGGTTCCAGTCCCGGGTGTACGGCCGCTCTAGGCTAATACTGAGGAGAGAAGAGGGTGGTAGGGTGGGGGTATGAAAGTCATTACAAATCAGTAAAAACATAACACGGATTGCCTATGAGTGTGTCGATTATTAATATAGGTTTTTCTTGTGTAAATATATAGTCCAAGTGATTTCAAACATATACTAGCCACACAACACTGTATATTTCGTAGCAGTAGAAAACATTGAAATCTTCACATAAAAACGCAATGACGAAGATTACTGTATGGCTTAATCTGGGTGAGCTAATCTGCAATGTTTGCTTAGAAAAGCTTGTAATGTGCACGTATAGAGCTGGCTCTGCTACGGGTTGCATGCTCTAAGTGTAAAATGCATCATACCAGCACTGTAACATCCAAGACACTATCAGAGAGCATGCATTAGGAGATCAACCGTCGGCTGGTAGCATCAGCTTTTTAATGTAGGAGTTGGATATGCTGGAATGAATGCTTTTTACAAGACAATGGGGATGGGCGCCATGGAATGTAAGACGTCATAGCCCATCTAAATGACATTCATGCGAAAAACCTGTTGTTTGAAGAGCTGGTCAATGCTGACGTCATTCATCTGTGAAAATGATGTATGGCTCAGAGGATGCAGACACACTAGACCTAACTATCAGTTTTTATGGTTCATGACATAACAGATGCCATACATCCAAGCATGAACAAAGAGTAATATGAACCACTGCTGGATTAGCTGTTGATTTTCATGTGATGTAGACACACTACTAGGTAAGAGTAGTTATTAGGCATCCACTAGTTTAAACATTTTCCAAAAAAAGACGTATGGACTGTATTTGCTTACAGATACCAAATTCTTTCTTTTTTCAGCTTTTTTCTACAATGGGCTGCACTAAAAAAAGTGAAAGCCTTGCTGCCTACAAAGAGTGGTATGACAATCGTAAACAAGACTGCAACATCAACCACACAGGATCCTCTGGTCTAATGGAACTTGAAGCAGCCAAGACAATGTGAACACGCTCCCAGGTAGAGAGGGCGCCAGAGACAGGCTTGGAGGCTGAGTCTTCTTGAAGAACTGAAGCCAAAGGGATGTCTTGGGAGACAGCTAAATTAATAGCCGGGGATCGGAAGAAATGGAAGCAAATGGTGGAGGCCCTATGGTCCATAAGGAGCGGAGAGGACTAAGTCAAGTCAGGTCCCAGGACAATAGCCTACGTTACACAACATTTGTAAGTGATGGAGACAGCAAGACATACAACGAGCTAGCTTCTGTCTTCGTCACACTGTGTTGTTCCAATAAAGAAACAGGCCCTAATAACGTATCCAAGAGGTTAGGGAACGCTTCTAAGAAACCTAGTGGCTACTGAAGCAAAGAATGGCACAACACTAGATGGACAAAAAACTGGAAGCCTAACACAAGGTACTACCCTTTACAAATATTGTCAGGATTTTCAATTTTATTTTCTTTGCTACAGTGACAATTTATTTTTTAACCATATTTTAAATAAATACTCCTCAATTTGCAGGCAGAGATAAACCTACTTCAGGGGTATTACAAGAAGATTGTAGCCAGCAAATGTGACAATATAGACTATTATAGAAGAACTCAGGAGAAAAATCTTGATGGGCTTCCAACACGCAGCTTCCTCCGACGAAGTACCCAACTACCATGACTGTCCCACTGGAGTTGAGTCTTGGTGCTTTTGGCAGAGAGCCATAGTTCTCGAGCAAATACCCCATTCACACACTGGTAGAATCACCTGCTTTATGTCCGAGTTTGTGGCTAAGAAGGTCAAGCCAATATATGAAAGCACACCGCTGACAGTTTGCTCGAAAAGTGCTTATTTGGCATGACACAGAATGCTAATGAAAGCATCCATGCAAAGATTTGGGCACGGGTTCCAAAACACATCTTGGTGTCAAAAAAAATTGAAGTGTGCACTGTGTTGTCAATTTGCAGAATTCAATTCAGGGAGTGTCGGGAGTGAAACTCTTTGTATTAGCAAAGCTGAAAAGAAGGAGGGATTATAGGCAAAAGGGAGAAGAAAACAGATAGTGACTGCAAGGTTTATTGTAGAGAAGCAGTTTCATAAGTCTGAAGGGGGTAAAAGCTACAGTGCAGGAAATTTTTAGAAATATTTTTCTTGGTGTGTGAAGTCTCATGGCTAAAACAATTATTTTTATTTATTTTCTAGACTGCTTTGTTTTCTATGTATATTTTTTAAATGGATTTGTGTATCAATTGGGCTCATTGTATTGGCTATAGATATATGAATATAATAAAATATTTTGTCATTAAACTTTAATTTAGCCTTTTCTCTATTTTGTCAATTTTAAGGTAGTGTCTGTGGAATGGTACAACTTAATATGTGTCTATTCGGGTATCGTATTTGTAAAGAGAAGAGAGCTAAAAGTCACCAGAACTGCCCGTGTAACGGGTACCGATGCCTAGTACAAAAAAACAGGCTTTTTTTGGAGGATAAATCTGATATCGACATGGAATTAAGTGCCATTGGATTATCTCCCATTTGTAAACTTATGAAGGGATGTAACTTTAAGTGGAATTTAAAAAAAAAAAGAAGAATAAAGACGCGCTTAAAAAATGGTAATAAAAAAATGAAAAAATAGTTAGATAAATTATTTTTAAAAAAATGTATTAAAATTAGCAAAATATAAAAATAGCATCATTGAATTACCAACTACTAAAAAGAAATAAATATTACAAACTAAATAACATTAGCATTATTTTAAGATGTACTAATACAAGTATAAACCATTCCTTCTAAACAACACGTATTCTATATTTTTTTTTGGCAAAATTTTGGCTTCCCACAATGAGGGATAACATTTAAGACAAAGGCCGATCTCTTGGGAAAACTTTTAAAATCACTTCAAATTTCCAGTGTATATCTATTAAATTTATTTATTAGGTCCCATAAATATTTAGATGATTTAATACAACAAAAACGTATGTTTTTGTTTCAATAACGCAATAAAGAATAGCGTGATTAAAATATACATTCGTTTTTTTTTTAAAATCACTAAATGTTTATTTTTTTGTTTTTTCTTTTTTTTTTGCCTCAGTTTGCCTTGCGTGTTCGCTTTAGTATTACAGTTTTCATCATCGGCTTGTGAGGACTGATAAAATCACTAAATATTGTTTGTAAAGATATCAATATTTCCTTCCAACAACTCATTTAAGGCGATGAGTTCTATGCATATGTAAATTTGTTTTGCTTTTAGGTAACGAGTTGTTTACATTACGCAGTATATATAAAATTTGATAGTTTAGACCCCGATAACCTTCATCAAAGTACTAAAAGTCTAACATTTGCACCAATAAATACATTTTTGTGATGCATAATGTATTTGAAGTTATTGATAAAAAGTATTTGAAGTTATTGATATAATAACAACATTTTTTTCATCAGTAGTCCACCCTTAGAACAGAATATTCATCAAGCATTTAATGAGATTAGTATTAACATGCTACAAGGACTTTGGGGTGGAAAAAGCTTGTCTTGACTACTACTAAAACAGAGTTAATTTTATATTCAAAATGTTTTGAGATCCAAATGATAGTCTGTTGTTTAAGTAATTTAGTATACGCTTGAGAGCTACGGCATTAAAATATAAACTAGCGATGAATCAAATCAACCTACCGCTCGTCATCAATAATCCTTCTGTCTTCTAACGTGAGAACCGTTGAAACTTGATCTGTCCACACAATCTACAACATGTAAAGAAATACATAACACATAAACACGTAGTACATTTATAATGTAAGATGTTTATAAGACTTAGGTTAGACGTATTTCTTTTTTTTTTCAAACTGACAACTTATAAATCATTTTGTAAGCATTGTAAAAATGTAACTCAATATAGGTAAGTTTGCCAACATGCAGTGGTACCCATTTCGTCAACAGTTGTGGTACCGATATTGTCCACATTTGTGGTACCCATAATGTCCACAGTTGTGGTACCCATAATGTACACAGTTGTGGTACCCATATTGTCAACAGCTGTGGTACCCATGTTGTAAACCAATGTACCCACTCACCTGATAAGAACCAAGAGAGCTGACCGAACAAGGCAGTGTCGCCGTGGACTTCTCTTTGACCGTCACGTTGACCATGGGCATGTCAAACTTGGGCTCTGATGACGGTAAGGCTGAAAATATAAACATAGAGGAACTATTTACAGTATGAGTAACGATTATCCTTTCATACCTTGCGATCAATTGGGCAAAGGAAGTTCATCTGTTTCTGTGACATCATGGTGGTGAAATCAGAGCTATTAACATACGCCTTCACTTTCCTCATCGTTAATCAGGTACCCATCAAAACGTATTATTTATTTTTTATTTGCTTTATTTATCATTTAGATAAATCTGTTATCTTGATTTATTAACTTGGTTTGACCCGAAATGCATTTTTAAACCTAAGTGTACGTTAAGTAGTGACCATTGTGTCCGGATCGTTATTAGCTGCGATTGTTACTTTATCCAATCCAAAGCTACTTCCTTTGGAACCTTTGGAATATGAGGCGGTGGAGTTCACATTACTTCATCTCGATAACTAGATCATTGTGAGAGGGTGAGCTTTGAATTGACTAAGCGATTGTTTACTATTTCGATAACAACAAGACGTTAAACTGTTGTGAACTATCTTGATATATTGTAAAATCTGTAAGAAGACACTCCTAGATCAGATCCCAGTTAGGGGTTTACGCTAATCTGATTAAAAACAATTTGCCTATCCGCTTGTCAAGACTCAATACTGCCAAGGTCTTGTATCGCTGTCTGGCCATATTATATCCATAACGACCATAGCACGAACAATACCCTGAACTCCAAACCAAAGTAGTGTTCTAACGAAACCCGTAAACGAAATAAGACAAGAATTTAACACGTCATATCACTACTCACAAACGGGCATATAGTTTTGCCAGTATACAAAAATACAAGATCACACACTGTGTGTTAACAATATTAAATCAACACTGAAAACACACCATCTTTTACACAGAAACTGGGATTTTTTATACCAGTTTCCGATAATAGAATCTTCTTTAAAAAAGGGGGTGTTAGGTTACTGGTAGTTAATTAAAATACATGCAAGGTTTGCTAATGGTAATGCTAACTCTATCCCTAAACCTAACCCCAACCCTAGTCCTAACCTTACTTTACTATCATAAAGCTAGTCGATATTACAGTAGTAACAACAACCTATCACACCTATTTATGGAAGAGTCTATAATCAAACATCGGTATCTCCAATCATAAAAAAATGCATCTCATTGTTCAGTGGATTTTTCAAGAGAGGGAAAATTAATACTGGGAAATTAATTAGAATTATTTTTTGTGCAGTAGGATAAACATTGTAATAATGCCCACAATTCCTTGCTTATAGTTATTCGAACTGTATTTAGTATACTTTATTTTCTTTAAATATGATAGAATAGTAAAATTATAGATATAAATTAACAACATTAACACACAATGAACTAGCATTATAAGAGTCCACTGTGATTCCTACAATGGCACCAGAACCAAGAAAAAGTTTTGAGATCCCCTGATCAATAACAAAAGGGATTAAGCGGATATCATGGTGACATCTGAAAGGTCCAATCAAGAACATTGAGGAATTCTAACTCCTGCATCGAATTGTTAAAAGAATGGGGAAAAATGGAGTGTAAAGCGATCATGATGACGTCAACTTGGTAAAATAGGATACTATTTGTTGTGTGTGTGTGAGGGGGGGGGGGGAGGGAGGGGGGGAGTTCCATGCATGGGGATTAATATTTCATCTAATTACCCTGTTGAATGTTTTAAAGTTGTCAGATTTACTTTTTTTTTTTTGCACGTTAGAAAATTAGGCAACGTATTGTGGGATGTGTAATCAATATAAATTGTGGTGATCATTAACTTGTAGAGTGAAACATGTAATCAAAATAGGCCACATTGAGATGTGTAATTAGAGTAATTTAAAAAAAAAATCAACTCACAATAATTAGATGCGTAGCACGAAATGCCCTAATCAAACTTGCAAGAATTATGCTACTTCATTGTACATTTGCTACTTTGCATACTATTAGTTTTGGCGAGGTAAGTACACTAACATGAGATAGGTACACTAAAACGAGATTAATTAAACTCTACAAGTATGAGATTTATGAGACGGCGTGGTTGGATAATAGCGCGCTCGACTGCTAGTCCGAAGGTGTAGAGTTAAAATACCGTTTCATAATGCTGACTACATCATCCTTTCATAGAAAGATGGTACATCTACTTTACCTGCCCTATGGATCGGCTCAAAGTGGAGCTTTACTTAGAATGAGACTAGTTTAGCTTCTAGATATTTGCTCTGATACCACAAGAAAGAACGGTGTTTAACTCAGCTGTAGCGAGATTAGTTAAACTCAAAAGGAATGAGATTAGTTTAACTCAACATGTATAAGATATTTTAACTCAACAGGAATGAGATTTGTTAAGCTACATCAGAAATTGCCACAACACTACGTGATGAAAATTACCCGAAAAACTACCCCCGAAAAAGATTCGGACAAAAAAAATCAAAGCTGATTTCGTGTAGTCAAATATTTTTAGAGTCAGATTTGAAGGAAGTCCGTCGCGTGCTTCGGCAACATCGCTAGCAATTAAAGAAACGGATTTAAGGCAGTGTGTCACTCCCCCACCCCCAACCACTACCCCCACCCCAAACAGATGGGGTCCCGACACAGGGTGTCAAGTTATAGTGGACTGGGTCGCTTCATCAACATTTCTTTTTTTTTTCTACTTTGTATTTTGTTCCAGAATCGCTTGTAAAAGATTTGTCTGGTTTGTTCTGGTTTTTGATAAGAATGTACATATAAATATAGAGTTTTCTAGTGACAATTTGCTAAATAATTTGTACATTTTGGTCTAAAATGATATGAGCGTTTTATTTAAAGGCGGTTTTTTGTTAATAAAGACTGCGAATAAACGCGCACGAGTACTTAAAGAATACCGGAAATACATACATTATTACAATAAAAAAAATAATAATACAGCGATTCCAAATACTTAGTGACTGTTAGAAGGAAAAGATAAAAAACGTGTGCATCCCCTACTTGTGTAAATAGAACAATATCCACAGTTGTCATTTTATCAATTAAAACAAATACCTTGAAGAATTGAAGGCTCAATGTGCTTTCATATTGAGTTAAAACATTTAAGGTGATTTGTAACTAGATCGTTACATTTTCTGGCTAAATCTACCCATTCATATAATTAGTAATTTTTGAAAATAGTGTATATATTTATTCTGATGAAGACTACATTTCGAAACTTTGGGTTAGTTAAATTTACTTTTATTGACAGCATTGTTGTAGTTTTTCACGACAATCAATTTTCTAATAGTCAATTTTTTTTATTCACATTGACTATATGAAACTTGATTGTCTTGAAAAATAACAATGGCTTAGACTCTAGAAGTCAAATACAACGATTTTAAAACGACTTTTTTTTTTTTTTTTTTTCAATTCTTGTACTCATCGGTTGCTGAAGCACGCTCAAACACTCACTTCGGGCGTGGCGTGGCGTGTTAATATGGAGTGTATTTGCATTGACAAACTTGAATGAGAGGCGATACCGAATGTATTTTTAATGCGACACTGTTATTCCTTGTCTCTGGGGGCTGTTTGTCTGGAGTTACGGGGGTCGGGCGGTGGAAAGGGTGGGAGAAAATATTCCAGGGGCGTGTTGATAGAGAGGTTTAAAGGGTGGGAGAAAATATTTCAGGGGCTTGGTGCTAGAGAGGTATAGAGAGGGTGGGAGAAAATATTTCAGGGGCGTGGTGATAGAGAGGTATAGAGAGGATGGGAGAAAATATTTCAGGGGCGTGGTGATAGAGAGGTATAGAGGGTGGGAGAAAATATTCCAGAGGCGTGGTGATAGAGAGGTCTAGGGAGTGGGAGAAAATATTTCAGGGGCGTGGTGATAGAGAGGTATAGAGGGTGGGAGAAAATATTTCAGGGGCGTGGTGCTAGAGCGGTTTAAAGGGTGGGAGAAAATATTCCAGGGGCGTGGTGCTAGAGCGGTATAGAGGGTGGGAGAAATTCTCTCATGGGCGTGGTGATACAGCGGTCTAAAGAATGGGAGAAAATATTCCAGGGGCGTGGTGATACAGTGGTCTAGAGAGGGTGGGAGGAAATATTCCAGGGGCGTGGTGATACAGTGGTCTAGAGAGGGTGGGAAAAAAATATTTCAGGGGCGTAGTGCTACAGGTTTCACATTTAAATGTTAAAAACCCAATATATTCCAGTGGTCAAAAACATTAACGTGCCACATATATAGTTTGGTTTAAATAATTTGCTCCTCACAAAATCAAGAAAAACGATAACTTCAGATTTCTCGGTATCCAGCTTACTTATGGAACAAAAAAAAAATGAAATAAGTTCTCTCTCTATCCTTGAAGTGGGTTTATGTTACTAACTAGCTCAAGTGTGTTTTAGTCAATAATTAGATCAAGTTGTTTTAAGTCACTAATGAATTGCAGTGGGCGGGTTAAGTCTCTTACCACCTCTACTGATTTTCAGCCACCAACGTTTAAATCTCAGACTAATGTTACTGGTTCTTGTGTACATCCTTAACTTCCCCATATTGACCATCACATGACCATCACGTGGCCATCGCGTGAACATCACGTGACCATCACATGACCATCACATGACCATCACATGACCAACACATGACCATCACATAACCATCGATTGACAACCGTGCCAAATGGTTCCTTGCTAGTATTGACTTACACGGGTATATTTTCTCTATTCTTTTGGATGTAGGTTTAATTCAAAAGGCGTGATCTCTTCCGTCCTTCCCCACATTCACATTCCCAGTTTATCCTCAAACCACAGTCCCCATCCATCCTCTACCCCACATTCCCCATCCATCCCCAACCCCACATTCCCCATCCATCCCCTACCCCACATTCCCCAATCCATCCCAACCCCACATTCCCCATCCATCCATCCCAACCCCACATTCCCCATCCATCCCCAACCCCACATTCCCCATCCATCCCCAACCCAACATTCCCCATCCATCCCCAACCCCACATTCCCCATCCATCCCCAACCCCACATTCCCCATCCATCCCCAACCCCACATCCCCCATCCATCCCCTACCCCACATTCCCCATACATCCCCAACCCCACAACCCCCACCCGTAGAATCTAACACTGCATTCGTTTCAGCCCACCCTTGTCGCCAGAATCCAATTGGTGACTGTTTAGCTCAGAGTTTCTCAACTCGATTGCTGACTCTTTAGCTCCGAGTTTCAGCGGGTGAGCGTCCAGGGGGAGGTAACGATATTAACCCAAGTCTATTTGCGCCAGTTACTTGTCCCTGAAACACGCTGGCCCGACCCCCCTGGGGACGGGGAAACTTCTCTCTGCGGAGTGCAGTAGAAACTACAGGGCACGTGACTGAAATTCCCACCAACTTTTAAATTGTTAAACGCACTAAATTTTAAGGAAAGGAAAGGGTAAGTCACTCTCCTCTAAACGATAATAATATTAGAATATTTTAAGGGTCATATGGGCTTCATGTATTTTATATGTATTAAAATACTGTAGATCTATACCATAATGGATTACGATACACTATTGCAATACATATATTATATACTTTCTTGTAGATGTATTAATTAAAATACTGTAGATACCATAATAGATTGAAATACACACATTTATTTATCATGCAAATATTGCATATTAAATTATTTTCTAGATTAAAAAACACATTATAGCGACAATTGTAGTAAAG